TTTTTTCATGATTTGGTGGTAAGTAGAGAAAGGGCTCATATCTTTAAAGCATCTCTAAGCTAGACCACTGCTTGCACAAAGCCACTGCAAAGCATAGAAGCTTTTCTGGTTGGTTACTATAGAGACAAGCTACATTAGGTAGAGCTCTTGCTTAACAAAAGCTAGACAAATAGATTTTTGTAGATTGGAAGCCTATTTGCAGGGTTATTTAGAAAACATCACAAACTAGGAATACGATAGGAAGGAGAAAGGCTGGAGAAGTGATCAAGTAAGTAATCAATTGTTACATTTTAGCTTGGTGTAATTTGTGCTTGCTAAGACCTTGAATCCAATATAGAAAGACTCTACCTCTAAGTGTCCGTGGTATGATTACACAGTCTTCATTATTGTTATTAATAGCTATTCTAAAACAACAGCTACATGACTATAATGTACATTTATGTGCAAATTTTTGGTTCGGTATATGTCTTAATTTCTCAGGGCATATGCTAAAAAATGAATTGCTAGGTTATATAGCAATACCAAACTGTTTTCCTCAGTACTATGTTCCCATCAGTACTGTATAATAAGCATTCCAACTTCTCCACTTTATCCAATATTTAATACTGTATCTTGTGAAGTAATATCATGTTGTGGCTTTGATTTACATTTTCCTGATAGCCTGATAGCTAAAACTGTTGAGCATTTTTATTTGCTTATTTGTATCTCTTGTAGAAAATTTTATACAGTCCTTTGACCTATTTTAAAAAATGGGTTTTAATTTATTGAGTTGGAAGATTTCTTTCCTCCTCCTCCTCCTCCTCCTCCTCCTCCTCTTCTTCTTCCTCCTCCACCTTCTCTTTCTCCGTTTCCTCTTCCTCCTCTTCCTCCTCTTCCTCGTCCTCCTCTTTCTCCTTTTTTCTCCTCCTCTGCCTTCTCTTTTCTCCTCCTGCTCCTCCTTTTTGCTCCTCCTACTTTCTCCTCCTCCTTCCTGCTCCTCTTCCTCCTCCTCCTTTCTCCTCCTTCCTCCTTTTTTTCTCCTCCTCCTCATCCTCCTTCTCCTCATGCTTCTCTTCCTCCTCTTCTTCCTCCTCCTCCTGATACCCCCCCCCCAAAAATTAATGGTATTATTTTCAGTTCTTATTATCAGCATATACTTCTTTTTAAATTAATATTTCCTTAAATTTGATGTCTTGAGCCAGAGAGGTAGTAGAGTGGGTAGGTGGTTTGCCTTGCACACGGCCAACATGTTTTTAATCCCAGCCTCCCATATGGTCTTCTGAGTACTGCCACAAACTCACAGCCTGGAATAACCCCTGAGCACTGCTAGGTGTGGCCCAAAACCCCCCTTCAAAAAAATTTATGTCTTAAATAGGCATTGGTACTCTAGGCGCCAGCAGTCTTTACAGCAGTCTGTAAAATCAATATTTTAGATTTTGAGGAATACGCCATTTTGTTCTACTGTTGAGGATGACATGGATGGTATATAAATGATAAATACAACTGCATTTCCAAAACAACTGTTATTTGTTCAAAAATAAATACTAAACTAAATTTTACGCAACTAAATTTTGCAGTTCCCCTGCTCTGGATGTTATTCAAACAAGTGTAATTTTTTTTAACCCTTAATTGAGAATACTATCTTTACAGTATTATGTTTTTAAAGACGATTAGATATTATTATTATTATTGTTTCTCCATTTCTCTTTTGTTTACTATTTGCATGGAGTATTCCATTCTTTTATTTTCAAACTATTTGTGCCTTTAAGGTTAAAGTGTGGTTTCTATAGATACCACATAGTTGGGCCACATTTTGAGATACATTATACAAATCACTGACTTGATTAGCTTTTGCAATTTTTTTTAATTTTACTTTTTTTGGCCCTGGTTTTACTCCTGGCACAGCCTAGCTGTGTGGGAATGACAGATCAGCACTTGGGCTGGTATAATCTGTCCAGACTCAGTGATTCTGGGGATATGCAGGATGTAGGAACCCAGGACAGGTCACACAAAGTATGCATCCCGGCTCTTGGGCCCTGACCTTTGATTAAAGTTCTTATTTGAATTTAATGTAATTACTAATAAGGTAGGATTTATATTGCCATTTTTTTCTATTTATACAGTTTGTCTTCTTTGTTCCTATGTATTCCTTTCTTCTTTTCTGTTAAATGTGATTTCTAGTGTATTACCTTAATGCTCTTTTTGTTTCTTTTGCTTTATTTCTGAGGGTTTTTTCCCTTTGGACCAATTGGGGGTATTATCAACATTCTAATCTAAAATAATTCAGTTCAAACTAGTAGCAATTTAATTTTAATAATATTTAAAAATGTCTTTAAATGTAATTTTCCCTCCATCTTCTTTTATTCTAGTAGTTTCATACAAATTACACCTTTGTGCTTTATAAACCATAGTTTTACAATTTTTTTCTTTAATTTTTATTTGAATCAGAAGAAAAGACTTACAAACAAAATTACATTAATTCACACATTTACTTGTGGAGTTAATTTATTGGAGCTTTTTATTTCTGTATTTGGCTTTGTCCTGATGTACTTTCATTTCAGGTTGAAAGACTCCCCTTAGCATTTATTTTAAGTCAAGTCTACGAGCACTTATTTTTGTCCCTTTTTTTTTACATTGATAGTAGTAAAATTGTTCTGTATTATTTTGCTTCTTTTTTATATTTTAGTACTTTACAGTATGTTTAGTTGCTCATTTCTTAATGCTTTGCATCATTCCACAGAATGAACATACTAAAATTTTATTATCTGTTCTACTGTTAATAATCTTTTGGAAGTGAGAGGTTTTTTTGTTTGAATCTATGATAGATAATGTTTATATATTATAATTTTTGAGTTTTATTTACCAGAGACAAACCCCACAAGGTAATGGCATATGATTCTTTTTACAGTTGTTGAATTCAGTTTACTCATGTTTTATTGAGGATTTTTGCATCTATGTTCACAAGAGATGTATCTGTTTATACTAAAGTCTTTGTCAGATTTTAATAGTCCTCTTTAATTGTCCTCTGATCACTGCTCAGGAGTGATCCCTGAGCACAGCTAGGTGTGGCCCCAAAATACAAAATAAAAAAGGTATTCTAAGAATTCTCTGTCTCTTTTTTCTGGAGGATCTCTGCGGAGAAAGGTCACAATTTCTTCTGTGAAACATTGGTAAAATTCACCAGTAAACCCACAAATCTGATACTTTGGAAGATTATTAAGTCATTCATTTAATTTCTTTAATAGACATAGGTCTATTCACACTATTTCTTCTAATATGAGGTCTGCAGTGTTGTGATTTTCTAAGGAATTTATCCTTTTATCTAGTTACCAAATTTGTGTGTATGTAGTTACATAATAATCCTTAATTTTTTAATTCCATAAGATCAGATCTTGAAAGCACATATTTTGCTTCTGATATAATTATTTTTGTTAGCCTGATTATAGGTTTTGATTAGTGTTATGATAGTGTATCTTTCTCTGTCCCTTTACTGAAAAATAATTAACATGAATTTTATCAATTTACTTTTAATCTATATGTCTTTTATTTTTTAAAGTAGGTATCTTGTAGGCAACATATAGTTGGGCACTCTTTTTATTTTTTTCTAAATGTACTCTAGCAGCCTTTCAGTGAAATGGGGGGCAAACTTTGATAGCTGATATGGTGTTGGAACATTGTATGCATGAAACCCTATTCATTAACAGTATTGTAAATCACAGTACCTAAAAAAATTTGTTTTTTAGCTAGCAATAGAGCATCTATATGACCCAGCAATTCCACTAACTGGCATTTAGCTCAGGAGCACAAAACATTAACTCGAAAGATATGTATACAACTCTGTTCATTGCAATATAATAACAGGAATATGGATCACAACCCAAATGTCTGATGACCGATGAATGGATAAAGAACTTATAGTATATATCCATAATGGAATGTTTTGCAGCTAAAATAAAAGATAATCTTGTTGTTTGTTTGAACATGGTTGGAACTGGAGGATATCATGCTAAGTAAGATCAGAAATACTAGATGATCCTACTCATCTAAGGTATATAGAGAACAAACCGGGAATAAGTTGTAGCAAATGAGAACATATTCTTGATCTTGGATCACGAAACTGAGATTACCAAGCTGGTGGGGGGTGGGAGTGGGAGAAAGGAAGCAGGAGACCAGAAGTGACATAAGAACTGATTGAACCACAGTGAGATACTGTGGTTCAATAACAAAGAAAAATAGTGATTGAGGATCTTGGACACAGTGGTGGTGATAAAAGTGCAGTAACTCTACATCAAAACCTTAAAAGTTAATGTTATTATAATCATGTTTTCTCAACTACAGTAAATAAATTTTTCAAAGAATTTGTAACATTTCTGTCAGGGTAGTTCAGCTGGCAACAAATTCAGTTTTATTTATCTGAGAACATTTCTACTTCACTTTTGAAGGATAATTTTGCAAGGTCCAGAATTTTTGACAGCCAGAATGATAAATCCAGGATTCAAATTCAGGTTTAGATGACTCCAAAACCTCTGCTGTTTACTTTGCTTTATTGGCTGGCATGAATGTCTCAAAATCATAAGATATGTGAAGGGAATCCTTTCTCTTTCTGTAACTGGGAGCAAACATCATTTTCATCACTGGACTGTAATATATGCTGTATCTCTGGGCCCTTCTCTGGAAGTAGCATGTAATATGGCTCCACTTATCATAATATCCTTGGGGATCTGCTTGCTCCTTCTAAAATTGTGGCCCACTTAGGATACCGATCAAAGAGAGAGAAAAAATTTGAGAACTTAAGATTGCCACAAAATACTTGGTAACGCATTTTAGATTTTCTGAACATAACAAAATGCCTTCCAGTATCTGTATACATAAAGTAGTTTTTGCAGTAACATCCATTCTTGTCAGATTAGAAATAAAGCATTTACTCTGCCCTTCTCCTTAAAATGTAGGGATATCTTTTATTTCATAGGTATATGGTACACTTTTGAAAATACAAACTGACAGCTTGCTTTTTTATTTAGGTCTAACGGTAACTGCTGTGAAAGACTCAGGAGAATGGAATTTAGAGGCTGGGGCATTAGTCCTTGCAGATGCAGGCCTCTGCTGTATTGATGAGTTTAATAGCCTCAAAGAGCATGACAGAACCAGTATCCATGAAGCAATGGAGCAACAAACCATAAGTGTTGCTAAGGCTGGGTAAGAGTTCCTTTTCTTTAAAACCTATGGGAATAGTGAAGTCGAATATAGTGTGATTATGGAAAAGTGTGAACCTTATTGAACTGCAAAATGTGCTTGGTCATATTATAAATGATTTGTCCTTCAAAGTTTCATTTTTTGGCGCATATGCTGCCGAGCCCATGTGCTGCTTGCACCCACGTGTCTGAGCATATGTGGTGCCCAAGCACATGTGTCACCTGCATCTCCCCTCTTGAGATGTGTACTTTCATGCCTTCGTGTCTAATGCTGGGATGTGTGTAGGGCCTCTTTCCGCACCTGTAAAAACGTGCATTCTCTCTTGAGCATATTACTCACTCTCACTCTTTCTCCCTCCACACCTTCAAAAAAACCCTCCAAATAAGATCTATTTGCTACCAAAAAAAATTTTTCATTTTCCATGGAGATGTGTGAGGAAATAAAAATTTAATTATTAGGAGATACAAGGAACAGCTGATGTGTAAAAGTAAGTTGACTTATTTTAGAGACGAGATAATATGAAGAGCTTTTAATGCAGGACTTGGTTCATTCTCTCTTGTAGTAATTGACCGATATAGGCATACTTACAGTTGTAGATATTTTGAAAGATTTGAGAAGAAAGAATAAATAATTTCTCTTTACAGTCACATTCTCCTTTTATAGCGTGAAGGAAGATTGATCCCAGGATATAGAAAACTAATGATAACAATGTACATACCACAAAATGAAGTATGTATTATGACCTAAGTCTTAAAGGTTGAGGTATATGAGTCTCTGGCTATAAATAATCAATGGCAAGGAAAAATAAGGCCGATTCAGATAAAAATCAATTCACCTAGACATTGAAGTGCTTTTGGAAAATTTACTTGACTACAAAGTTTGACTACCAAGTAGGCTGCCAAATCATCCAGATGTATAATTGAGTAGCCAGGACTCACTCAGTCCTATTGCTGCTATTATAATATGAATGAGGACAAGCTTATCAAGCAAACAGGGTTTCAATGGAGTCTTCAAACAGTCGCAGGTATTTGAGAGCAAAGCAGACACTAGTGTATGTAGATTCTGTGACATCTACTTGCAAAGAACAAAGAGAGGGGTAGCTAATAACAGGATGTAACCCATATTAAAAATATGTAAGAGGGGCTGGAGAGATAGCACAGCTGGTATAGCGCATTGCCTTGCACGCAGCCAACCAGGGTTCGATTTCCTATATGGTCCCCCAAGCACCGCCAGTAGTAATTCCTGAGTGCAGAGCCAGAAGTAACCCCTGAGCATCTCAAAGTGTGACCCAAAAGAAAAAAAAAAGATGTAAGAAAGAAATCAGGTAGCACCATTAGCAGATCTGTTCATTTAGATCAATATATATTCATTCAGTTTATTTTGTTTGCGCTTACTACTTGTCATCCCTGTGCTAGATATTTGAGTAATACAAAGATGATTACAATGCTATACTTCAATCAAGTTTTCACTGTTTTGTTGAAAATGATAGACAAAACAACAACAGAAGGTTAAGTGAATAATAAAAGTGCTATGAGAGAACATATTCTAAAATAATTATTGCTTCTGAGCTCTTTATCAAGAAAAATTATATATATACAATTTATAAGTATTTTTAAGGCTACTTTTTTCCTCATTATGCTCCACTTAATTAGCACCTTTGCTGGGTAGTAGAATCTGTGGTTTATTTTGATAGGCCTTTTCAGGGCAAATTTGTAAAACTTTAAAAGATGGACAAGAAATAAATCCTTTCATCAGGGAAAATTAGGACAAAAGCTGTGAATCTGTTTTAGAAAAGGAGAAAATATTTTATAAACCACTTGTACTGCCTTAACCTCTGCTAAGTGTGGATTGGTATAAATCTTTTTGATATATCTAAGTGCCAAAAGTTCCAAAAGAAATGTTCTTATAAATAACAATTCGCCTATGATAATCATAAGTTGAGTAATCTTGCCATAATAATAACTGCTTTATATACTAGAATAGCTTTTCACACTAAGGTATTGTTCTTTTCAATCTGTCACAGAGCAGTATGCTTTTAAGTACAACAAAATTTTTAATGAGATTTTGAAAAGCATATAAGATACATGCTTTGGGGTTTTTGGTTTTTATTTATTTTTTACTTTCACTTTACACTTAGGATATAATAAAATTCAAATGACAAAAAAATCAAAATTTTTCTTGAAAAGGTATCATATTGCTGAATTTACAAGGAAGTCAAGGGAACTTAATTCTAGATTGTGACAAAACCTCTAAGGAGCAATGAGGCATCAGTCTGTGTAACCTTGAGAGGAGGAGATGATTGCCAAAAAGGAAAAAGAAATCACTAGGTTTTTATACATTCCCTACAGCCTAGTATAGCATGTTGATTTAGAATGACCTGAAACTCACAATCAGAGAAGTTAGTTCTCGTAAGGCTTTTTCTATGTGTCCCTGCTCACAGGATTAACTGGGCAGGGCAGAAGACCTCTTCTGTGTAAATGGGCACAAACCCTACTTGCTTCCCAGATACATCTCATGCAAGCAAAGACCTTACATCAATGAGGCTCTGGCAACAAACCCTCATCCTCAGAGCCTCTAGAGAGAAAGGGGGAAAGCCACAGAATTCTTATCTCTGGTAGAGATGAGCTTTTTCCTTCTCTCCCAGGCGAACAAAGCAAATAGATTTCTGCTTCCAGTAGAAGTGTAGAAGCTGAAGCTGTTTTACTCTGAGGTATGGGCAGACCGTGCCAGTCCAGGACCCTGAACCAATATATAGCAGGGATTTGTTCCACTGGGAAAGAGGTAGAACCCCCCCTCTACAGGTCCACTGCAGCTTTTAGCTACCGCAGGTTGGGGTGAGTGGGGTGGGAGTTAACTTCAAAACTCTTGGAGAGAAGAGCCACAGCTCTGTCTGAGACCAGGAGACCAAGAACTACACTAGCTCCAAAACAAGCCTAAACTGAGGAATAAGCAAACCAGTCTACCACTGGAAACCCACCTCTCTGTGGCACAGTATGCAGTGACTGCTAGTAGCTGAAGGTAGAGCAGAAATTCTGAAAGTGTTTCTTTTTAGCTCTGCACTGTAATCCTTTTCCCTCTCCCACTCTGCCCTCCCCTGTTAAGCACAAAGTAATGGCAATTCAACACCTAAAGAAATCTTTTTGGTGAGCCAACCATACCCAGTGATGCTCAGGGCTGACTCCTGGCTCTGTGCTCAGGAATCACTCCTGACAGGGTTTGGGGGACTCCTTTATAAGTGGGAGGTTTGGGTTCAATCCCCAGAATCACATGGTTCCTGGAGCATCATTGAGACCAACCCCAAGCAACATACAGGAAATACCCCCCTGAGCTTTCTTACCAATACTTTAGTAAATTCAATCCAAATATGTATAAAAAGGCTTATAATCATTGTAACTCACAGCATTACCAAAATCAAAAGGACAAAACATAGTCTTCCAATAGATAAAATAAAAAGATTTTCTATTGGACATAGTTACCCATTCATGATAAAAGTTCTCAACAAACTCGAAGTCTCTCCACCTGTTTCATTGGCATCTATGAAAAATCTACAAGAGATATACTTAATAGGTAAAAGACTGAATGTTTCCCACTTAGTAGTAATTCCCACTTGGAAACAAATCAAGGGATTCAGTTTTACAATTTCTTGTTACCATTGTACTGGAAGTCAGGTCTATTTAGTTAAGCAAGAAAAGAAAACAGAAGATGTTCAAACTGGAAAAAATTTAAAGCTGTTTGTATTTTATATAATGTTACCATATCAAATAATCTCAAAAAATAATGAGATTCCTTGAAAAAGGTTAAAGTAAATAAGTCATGTAATAAACAAATTTTAAAGAATGTAGGTTGATTAGCATCTACAGTCCTACTAGTAAACAATTGGAAACTAAAGTAAAACATTCTAATTATAGTAATATCCAAAATCAGGAAATGCTTAGAAAATAATCTGGAAAAATTAATTTTATATTTTTACCCTGAAAATGATAAAACAGACCAGAGAAATAACTCACTGTGCATGTGCTTTGCGTGCATAAGACCTGGGTTCAATTTCACTGCAATACATAGTCCTCTAGGCACCAACAGGAATAACCCCCAAGCACTGAACCAAGAGTAGCTCCTAAAAACATTTGGATGTCACCCAGAAATCAAAATGAACCAAATCAAGTCTCACTGACCAGAAGACTGAACATATTAAAATGTAATTTCTTGTCACTGAAAAATAGTACAGTGGGCGTGATTCCTGAGTGCAGAGCCAGGAGTAGCCTGTAAACATTGCCGGGTGTGGCCCCAAAACAAAAACAAAGTAATTTCACTCCAAAGTGACCTATAAAATCAGTATAATTTCAATCAAAATCCCAAAAGGGCCTTTTTTGCATAAATGACAAGCTTATTTAAAATTTTATATGAAAAAAATTACAAGAACTATAACACAGCCAGAACAATTTTGGGGGCAAGGAGGAAAAGAGTATTTACTTATTTCAGGCTACCATAATTAAGATGTTGGAGTAAGGAAAAATATAGATCAATTGAATGAGAATAATGGTCCAGACAGATAGATAGTAAGTAGGTTTTCAGGAACGATGCCAAAATAATTGAGTGGAAAAATAGTCACCTCGAAGAATTGGTTCTGGAACACTTGTATATCTATTTGCCAGTAAGAAAAAACATTACTTATATGTAAATGCTCATAGCAATTATATTATTAAACACACAAGATTAAAAACAACCAAATAGATCCATCAACTGTTTAATAGATAAACATTTTGATGCATCTATACATTTGGGCCCTGCTAGCAATATAAAATTAGCTACTGGATATTGAAACATGCAGTACTATGATTGAATATTAAAACTCCACGTTAAATAAAATATGCCAGACATACAGTTAGGATTAATTTTTTATAAATTTTTTTCTCTTTTTGGGTCACACCTGGCGATGCACAGGGGTTACTCCTGGCTCTGCACTCAGGAATTACCCCTGGCAGTGCTCAGGGACCATATGGGAT